AATTCCTGATCTGATACAAAGAGTAGGGAACAATAAGGCAATCTTGCAAATGTCTTATGCACCCCGCTTTGCTACCACTGTGGCTCTCTGGCTGCTTATTACAGCCCTTTTCCAAATGCATTTATTTCATTTTAAGTGGCCATCATGAACATCTGTCAAATGTAGCAACACAAAGGGTGGGTGTGAAGTGAGGAGAGGGGGCGGGGAGGAAGTTGCAGGGGAAAGGGAAAGAGTGTGTTGCTTTGCTAACCCTGCTCCCTGCTGAAATACATATTTTAATTTTAAGGTTATTTAAAAAATGAATATATTCCAGAATCTGTTCTTTGCACCCAAGCCTGCTTACAGCTCCAGGAATTGTGTGTGTATGGGGGGGGAGCACCTCTATTATTCTCAGGCCATTTGGTAGTGGTTGCCATGGAGATCAAAAGCAAAATAGCATGCAAATCAACACAAGCCCCAGTGTTCAATAACAACCTTAAAAGGGCAGCCGGATAAGACGACAGAAATCACTTGAAATGCTTCAACCTGCTCTGCTAGCTGTGATTAGATCTAAAAGGGAAAGAAAAATACCCTAATGGATTATAGAGCAGACGAAAGGAGTCTGCCAGCGATGGGGTGCAGCCTGTGTGATTATTTTAAACACATAGACTCTCCCACCCTAACCACATGTCTACATGCACAAAGGTATCCAAAATGACCAAATCACACACACAATATCTTTAATTTCTTCCCCATCTGGCCAGTACTTAAAGCAATCGGGATTTCAGTAATTAAGGGTGGTTTTTTGTTTTCTTGGTTGTTTTTTTAAAAAAACCTACTTTTAATATTTTTTTAAAACTAAATCAAATCTGCTCTTTTTTCTTTGGTGGCAATGAGTCACATAAAATCAACATCAAGCATGGATAGGAAAGTCACATGTACCTTTTTTGACAGTTAACTAGCTCTCTCAACAAGCTTGCACCAGGATTTGGGCATTAGTTTTATAACAAAACAACAACAACAACAACGGCTTCTATACTTAATCCTCAGCGGAAAGGTTTTGTTTCAAGGAAACCCAAATGATTTATGGCTGCAGCCCTAGTCACGCTAACCTGACAGTAAGTCCCATTGAACCCCATGAGCTTACTTCTAAATTGCTTTGTATACAAACCCTCTGTAAGGTTCAAGCAGTGAGTACAGCTTGCCTTTACTGTAAGTCTGTCTGCCATAAATGACACATTGATAACATTTGGTTATCATCACATAACAGAGACAACCCACTCAAAGGTATGCTTCCCAAGTTCCTTTTTTACCAAAAGGAAGGTACAGCGGGTGTGATGCTTGTTGGACCACTGTCTTAGCTTCTGCTCAGCCATGTATCCAAACCTCTTAGGCTCCTGCTGAACCTTGTAACCTGTAGTTTGTCTTATGTGCCTATCTGATATGAGCATCAAAGCCTTTGGGAAAACTAGAGCTGGGGGTTCAAGTTCTTTGTTTGCCAGTGACGGCTGGGACCCTTGCCCAGAAAGGGCATTCAGCACTGGTTTGAAATTATTGGGCTCTTCCAGGTCCAGGGAGGGCTTCTTCAGTAATAGTCTTACTACTGTCTCCATCAGGCAGCCTAAGACCACTCCTCATTGAAATGAAGCGTTCATTACCTCCCTATCTCTGATTGCAATAGGCTTTCTTCATTGTTCCCCCTGTCTTCCAGATCATAAGAGATCACTACAGCTACTGGCTGGATAACATGCCATATGGGGTAGATGTGTGCTAAAGCACCATTGGATGGATTTCATTTCAAAACTCAGGATCCTATCACAACATGCTGACCTTGGATTTTTCTTACGCAGTAGCAAATTAGTTCACATCTTGGAGTCATATGGATAATGCCTTTATGTGTCTGCCTTGCCCTGTAGAAAACTCTTTGACACAATACTTTTATTATTAGCTTCTCCTTGCTCGTGGCAAACCTAGATGATATGGGCTAATCAGTTAGGAACATGTGTACACACATCCTGCAGGACATTTAACTAGATGACCTCCAGTGCAAATAAATTAAATTCAATGGCTATGAGCTGAATATCTCAGTCTGCTTGGCCAAAGAATGTGAAGTAGATGCTCTCCTTATTTCTTTTTTATATATAAATTACACAGAGATAGGTTAAAGTAACAGTGTGAACAAATGTGTGGACTAGCTCCATTGTATTAAAGACATGAATGAAATGTCAAGTAAAATGGGCTAAGATAATTTGAGGAACTAGCATGGAAAAAGTTGAGAAATGTGTGGGAAGATATAATCATATGTTGTTTCTTAACAACATCGTCATCATGGAGCCATAGATCCCACTACAGCCCTGGTCCAGTAGCCACTTTAGCCATCTCAAAAGTAAGGAAAACACAATAAAAACCACAGCACCCCACCCATGAGAATTCCCATGACATTTGCTTTCACCTTTGATAATCCTCAAATTTGGTTTCTTTTTCTCATTAATTGATGGAGAATAGTCCAAATCCAATGCCTGGGTGTCCAGTGTAGGTGATAATCATTTTGGTTGCAAGAACTACTTTCAAGACCAAGGGCCTTGCTGTAACATTGACCCTGGAGTCCAGCAGTGAGCATGGCAGTGATTTAGAGATTACAGAGCCATTGGCTGAGGAACTTCATGAGGTTCCTGGATCTGAGCCTAATATTCTCAAGTGAACCTGAGCCTGGCAAATAGAATCCTACAACACCAGGGCCTGCAAAAGCAGATATTGGACTCTCACAGACATCCTCCCTTGGGCATGGGGAACCAGGTGCTCCCCAAACTGCCTTGTCAGTCCGGTGGCACAGTGAGTGCACAAGGCAAGAGGGCACAAAGCAAAATAAATGCCAGTGGGTTTGCCCTTTTTAAAGGTTTGCAGCTATCCAACAAATAGGGAGGAGCCTGAGAGAGATGGGCTTAGAGGCAGAGGCCCCAAAGGTCTCAGTTCACCTCCATCCTTGGTTGGAGAAAGTTGTATTCCTATGAGCTCTCCTTGTGGCCTTGTCTTCTGGGTGGGACCAGAGCACGCGACTTTTGCTACTTTTGTTGTCTCTCTCTTTCTCTCTCTTCCCTCTCTTTATAGAAATGAGTTCCCAAGCCCCTTTGATGCCAGCACTCTTCCCTGCATTAGCCTTTCGAAACTCAGTTGCCTGCCTAGTGATCTGTTTCTTTTCTGGTACCCAATTTCTATACTGTATTCTGGTACTTCCTTTTTCCAGATGAGGAAAAGGAAACAAAGTAGGAATCCAGAAATGAGTTTTCAGCAGGTTGTTATTTTTACCCCAGGATAAACAGAGAGATACTTATTCCATTCAGGGAACTAAGAGGGGATGAATGCCACTCAAAGGCCCTGCACAAGAGAAAGGACAACATATGGAATATGCACGACTAATCTTAACTAGGTGTGATCCTTGCATTAACCCTCAGGCATAATCCTTGCATTATCCCTACAAAATCCTTAGCCTTTGTTAGAAGGAGCCTTTGTTACAGTTGCATTAATCTAACCTCTCTTCTGTACAAGTTATTCTTAACTTACAGACTGGCTCCAAACATTACAGCTATCTCATTGCAAAGAAGCATGTTAAATCTCCCTGTGTCATTCCAGTGATGCCCCATGCATCCGCATGAGCTGTTCAGTTGCCTTTTGGGCACACTGCACAACAGAAGAAAAAGCTAGGTTCGCTACTGAGTATGCAACACTCACCAAGGAGCTGTGGGCAGCCCTGCTTACCTGCATGATAGACATGCATGTGTAACCCATTCTTTAAAGTTTTAGCAGTAGTCTTAAATTATTTGAGGTATACACATGAAAAATGCAGTATGAAGTGGGCTTTAGTTTCATACTAACTTTAGTTCCATAACTTCCTAACTCTGAAACTGCTCTCTGCTCTGCTCCCAGATTTGGTCTGGGGAGGGCAGAATCTTCCTTGGAGGGCTTCTGCTTCGACCAACCACTCAAGCCAGGTCAGACCAAAGAGCCCCTGGCATTAGCAAGGATGTGGGGGCAACTCTACCTGAGAAGATTCTAAAAGTGCCACCAAGCCAACTGTCCATGGTGCTGATACAGCGGCTGCTGCAGCTCTTACCTCTGAAGCTCTGCCTGACTCGGAATGAGCTTGTGTATGTGTGTGTATGTGTGTGTCCTGCTCTTCATAGAAAATCATCAGAGCAGTTTGCAGCAATTAAACAAATTAAACATAAAACTGTGCAATAAGGACCATATAAAACATTAAAATCAGAAATCAACTAGCTGTTATGGAAAGACGTATTTTTTTAATTGCCTGCATAAGCCTGATGGAGTAGAAAAGTTTTCAGTAGGAGTTTAAAAGTTGAAACATAAGGCACTTTCTGAATTTCCATTGGCAGGATAGCCTACTGGACGCCTATGGGAAACCTGCAAGCAGGATTAGAGCACATGAGACCTCTCCTCTCTTGTGGTTTTCGTCAACTGGTATTCAGAAGCATTACTGCTTCTGGGAAATTTTGGAACAAGATGGAGACAGATTGAAATTGCAGAGTTTTGAAAAATTAAAAAACAAAGTGCGAGACTGGCTTCATTATTATCAGATAATGGAGGCATACAATTTGGATAAGAAAATCGGCTTCCAGGTGGAAAAATCAAAATTAGAAACTGAATTGTTAGAACCCAAAACTAAAACTTTGTCAAAGTTGTATAACTTGCTGTTGAAATGGAACACTCAGGATGAAAAGGTGAAATCTGCTATGATTAAATGGGCACAAGACGTTGGACATAATATTATGTTTGCTGACTGGGAACAGTTGTGGACCACAGGTATGAAATTTACGGCATGTAATGCCTTAAGAGAAAATATTATGAAAATGATATACAGGTGGTACATAACCCCAGTCAAGCTTGCAAAAATCTACCATTTGCCCGATAATAAATGTTGGAAATGTAAAGAAACTGAAGGTACATTTTTTCACCTTTGGTGGACGTGCCCAAAGATTAAGGCTTTCTGGGAGATGATTTATAATGAACTAAAAAAGGTATTTAAATATACCTTCTTGAAGAAACCAGAGGCCTTTCTCCTGGGCATAGTCGGCCAATCGGTGTTAAAAAGGATAGAACTTTCTTTATGTATGCTACAACAGCAGCAAGAATACTCATTGCAAAGTATTGGAAGACACAAGATCTACCCACACTGGAGGAATGGCAGATGAAAATGATGGAATACATGGAATTGGCGGAAATGACTGGCAGAATCCGTGACCAGGGAGAAGAGTCGGTGGAAGAAGATTGGAAGAAATTCAAAGACTATTTACAGAAATATTGCAAAATTAATGAATGTTAGAATGATGTTGGATTGAAGTTAAGGGGTTTCTAGCTGTACAGGCTAAAAGAATATGGAAAAATTGGTTTTAATATGTAAAATCTAAAATTTAAAGCTATATTATATCAAGATTAAAGATTAGGATTAAAAAGGAGGGAAAGGAACTGTTGGACTAACATATTTAATTAGAATACAAAAGAGGGAGGTAAGAGGAGGTCCGAGAAACAAGTAAATGTAAAAGAAGTGAGGAAAAGATGAAATTGTTTTTAATTGTTTTTTCCTTTTTTCCTTTGTATTTTTTCTTTTTATTGTTAATTTTTTCTTCATTAATGTGGTTTTTTTCTTGTGAAATTTTAATAAATATTATTTTATTAAAAAAAAACAGAAGCATTACTGCTTCTGACGGTGGAGGCAGGGCAGAGCTATCATGGCTGGTAGCCACCAGTAGCACTTTCCTCTAATAATTTGTCTTTTTTAAAAAAATGATATTTATTGAAAATTTTAAAGTTACAGGAAAAAAAACAAAGAGAAAAAGAAGGAAAAAACAAGAAAGTAACAAATAACAATTAAACAATACAAATCGATAAAAATCAAAATCAAAGAGCAAAAACAAAACACATAACACATAGAACAAAAATAAACCACAAAGATTTAAAAACAAATCCAATATTCCCAAATCCTTAACTGTCATTACCTTATTTCATCGACCTCCTCACACCTCCCTTTTTTGTATTCTAGTTGTTGATTGTCACAGCAAATCCTTTCCATTTTTCGTAATATTCTGTCATTAAATTACCTTAATCTATTTTAACCTTATCTTACCATAAAAAACCCTAAAACTTAAAACTTAAATCTTATTTATACCAATTTCTCATAACCATATCATATTCTTACATAGTTCTTTTTAACATTTCTGCTAAAGCCAAATCATTTCGTTCCAACATTATTCTAATACTCATTAATTTTAGAAAACATTCCTAAGTAGAATTTTTAAAACATTCTTCCAATCTTCATCCAACGTCTCCTCCTCCTGGTCTCGGGTTTTGTCAGTCCTTTCTATCCCATCCAACTAGTTCATTAACCTGGTAACCTTATGTCCGAGGCCTTTAAGTCTCTTCCATGTCCCTTCCGCAGATCTTCTTCATATTTATACCTGTACTTTACTTTGTCTTCTGCTCCTTTCACTCGTGGAGACTCCAGCTTGACAATATTTTTATCCCTTCTCAACAGATCAGCCCCTTTTCCATAGTCCACACTGAACTCCATGTGATATTTAAAGGCATGTTTCAAGGTCCCTCCAAAGTTGAGGATCCCCACAACTCCAAACTCCTCCCGGCCCAACGCCAGACTTGAAAAGTCAAAATATCCCTGCATAGGGGGGTCTATCCAGCCCCCCATCTCCAAGCCAAACAAGACTCTATCTCTCCAAATCTGGCTTTTTCCAGGTTCATTCATCAGATCCAACAACTCATGTTCCTGCTGGGCCACAGTTCCCTCCATCTCTGCCTCTCAGGGTCCAGCCACAACCTCCTCCCTCATTTGATCTGTCAGAGCACACTCCTGAATTGATTCCTGAGTGGGTTCTATATAGATACCCACTACCTGTCCAAAATTTCTGATCGCAACAGTCATCAAATCCGTCTTCTCATGTAACTGTTCCAATAAAGCACTTGTCTTACAGAAAGCACGCACCAGAGCCTCCGAGTACATTGTTGTGCAAGGTCAAAAGTCTGATCCCACGGTCTTAATGTATTGCAGCTGCAAAGCTCCCCAGTTTAGATTTAATAACAGTTTCACAAGCTCCCTCTAGGGGAAGAACTTCTATTTGTATCCATCTCTCTCTCTCTCTTTTTTTAAAGCAGATCTAACAACAAAGTTTCCTTTTTCAGATATTTTGTCAATATTTTACTCCTTTTGGCTGCGAAGGAGAACAATGGAATCACTATGTTTCTCTTCTTTTAACTGTCTGTCAAAAACGTTTGTCTATAGTCAATGAACTCCGAAAACGTCTGTCCTGACACCCCGCTCCCAGGTTCAAGACGGTGGTAAATTACTTTTCTTTACGCACTCTTCTGCAGGTTTAAACAGTCCAGAAAAAATCCCCCCTTTGTAAGGGGGTCCAGTAATTTTAGATGATGAAAGTTGATCCTTTACAAACGATTTTCTAAGCTCTAGCTTGCCATGTCTTTGCTTTAATCTTTTTACAAAGAGCTGAAGGCCGACTTCCTGTTTAGACCTTCCCGCTTCAGTGCCAAATTAAAAGGAATTTCTTAGTCCAATTTTCCGTTCTGCTCACAGGTCGTTGTTTAGAGTCCAATTGTCCAAATTTAACCTACTCACGGGTAGTTGGTTTTGTAGCCAGATTGTGACAGGAAAAAGGTAGCGCTCTCCGGTAACGGCTGTGCGGCTTCGCTCCACGGAAGTAGCAGTTGACTCTCAGCACCGCGCCGCTTGCCCCGCTTCGCTCCGGAGCCCGTAATTGGGCTCCCTTACAAATTGGGGGGGGGCGCAAAAGGTGCCCGCCGAGTCCCACGGTCACAGGCTTCACCCGCCTGTGATTTTTTAAAGGGTCCCCGCTTCGCCGTAGCGGAACAGACCCGATTCCCGTAGAGCCAGTCCCTCCGGATCAGAGGGAGTCCGCCATTACCTCTAATAATTTGTCTAACCCTCTTTTAAAGCCATCCAGGTTGGTGGCATCACTACCTCCTATAGGAGTGAGTTCCACTTCTGTCCTGAATCTTCCAACATTCAGCTTCATCGGATGGCCAGAGAACAGCAGAGTTCCAGGTGGTAGCTCCACTTTTACATATATTGTGGCAACTAAGTTAAGTAGTGTGCCAAGTGTGGTATAATGTATGCTGATGTTTTTGAAGCTATAAAAGTCAAAACAGTAACTCTCTATACCGTTCTTTCCAAAGACAGACACCATACCATTCTTCAGGGAACATAATCGTTTCCCACAATTTCATCTGTATCTCTTGCTACGTGACCCGGCAGTGGCCCTGAGATTTTCTCAACCAACTCTCATCAGCGAATCTTTTCATGTCCCACTGGCTTGAACGCATTCCAATTGTCCAAGGATTCTTTATAAGGATATCAAAGCCTCAGTAGTCTTTAGTCCCACAGAATCAAGAACACAAAGCAACACTTGCATACTACCTTTTGAATAGTGGTTGATCCAAATAAAAGGTATGTTCTCAGTTGCTCTGTGTTTCAAGCATTCATTGACAGTCTCCTTTGCCATCTTTCTGTGTCCTCAGTTTTGTGTTCTGAATGTCGCATCACACACAGGTTTTATCCCTTGTAAAAACTGATGCAAAGCAGATGCAGAATAGTTTCCCCTCCTTTTAACCTGTCGTTTTCTTTCCTTCCGAGCTGAGGAATGAATCCAGTATATCCTTTGCCAGGTTACTGCTACCAACACAAAAACATGTTTCCTGAGATCATTCCTGTTACAAATTCATTTTGTGTCTCTACCTGCGTAATATTTGCTGTGACACACTTGTGCTATGCTGAATAACCTGGACTTCCCCTTTAATTTAAGCCTTCTTTCCATATGTCTTTGGTTCTCTGTTCATGAGAACTATGTCCAAGGCTGGGATCCTATAGCCTCTTACCTGAGAGTAAGCCTCGGGTAATCCAATGAGACACTTCAGAGTGGATGTTATAGCAGTGGTCACCAACATTTTGGAGGGTAGTGGGTACATCTGGAATTTCAGGAAAGGACTGTGAGCACAAGTCACAAAATGGCTGCCACAATGGTTATGCCAATGGCTGTGGCATGACACAAAATCGCTACAACATCTAAAAGAGCAGGAAAAGTGACAGGCACACAGACCTGCTCCACATTTCCGTACCAAGTTGTAGATTTATTGGGTTTTTTAAAATTCTCATGAAAATTCATCAGCATTTGGGTGTGAACTTCTCCCATTTTTATGCAGATTTGACTAACATACAAGTTTTTGAAGAAAATTTTCCCCAATTTTCCCCAATACTTGCATTTATAGACACACTTTACACTAGTATGTGCATTTTATTTTTACACATTACTTGGCTGGAGAACTGCATTGAAAAACTCAGAGAACCTGAGTTTCAGTTTGTAACTTCTTTTTGAAAGTATGAATTAAGTAAGTTTGCCTTCAAATTTAATCAAAACTACTTTCTTCTCCATCTTTCTCCATAACCAAGGTTGGCTTCACTTGACATGGCAGGAAACAGGTCCAGCCAGGAACAAAGTGCTGGTGAGCGCCTCTCCAGTAGCCTGCACGTTCACACTGTCTCAGTAAGTCAAGGTTTGGCTTAGTGTCTTATACAAACCAGGTCAATAGCTAGGAAGAAGAGTTGCAAGAGGAGAATGAGGGGGTTGGTGGAGATAGGTGCCAAAATTTGCCAACCACTGGCATAGATCTTACTTCTATGAAATGAGGAAAAGTCATAGAAAATATCTACTGGGGGGGGGGGATATGCCCCATTGTCATTTTAATGTTTCAACTGCTGTAAATGTATATTTGACAAAAAGTATTGCTTTCAATGTTATGTGTGAGCTCCAGATTTCAAAGAATGCCTTGACTTCAGAAGGACGTAGGAAAGTATAAAACTGTGTACCAAATGCGGGCTGGTTTGTCTCACCAATCCTTCTTGGCATTCCATTGTGCGAAGCTGGCAAATTGCTTATAATGACATAAAGCGAATGCATCTTTGAAAGGCAGAAACATATTCTTATAAGTGTTAGCTGTGCATTTGATTATTTGAAGGGCTTGATTTCTCCAGTCGCGCTGCACATTTTAGGTATACACATGAGATTACAACTTCATTCATCACAGGGCTGCGCCGATTGAGGGAGAATTTCCTCCTCATCAATCTGATTTTTAAACAAGGGTCTATTTTCCCCCTACAGTGTTAGTTGCCGCACGAACCTTCCACTTGTCACTATGGCTGCATTATTGAAGGAGTTAATTGGGTAACATCTCGCTCACCTACCCGGAGTTCGAACCCCTTGCTGAAGCTCAGCTGTAGCTCACCCACCCTCCTAATTACATTTATTCACAGAAATCAAAAGGAGAGGGACGCAGTTGAGTAAAGGTCACATTAATAATACAGGCTGAAAGAAAGCCTGTGGATATGTATTTTTCATTAAAGCCACATTTGACTGAAGGGGCAATTCTTTTAGGATTGGCAGTATTTCTCAAGGAGGCTGAAGATATGGCAGAGGGGAAGAAAGGCGGGTGGGGAGCTGAGAGAAGAGAAGAATCCTCGTTATTCTCTTGTCACTGTTTGTTGTCTGCTTCCAAATCTGAAGAAATAACAAGGAAAGTTAATCATGTTGCTCACAGTGAGAAGTGCCTGAGATCATAGGCTTC